TGTAGTTTTCTCCATCTTCCTCTCAATACATTACAGTTGCTTAGTTAGTATTCTGTAAAATTTCTTGTCAGGTAGTTCTGATGACCATTTCTGGTGTTTTATTTTCTGACTCTGCTTTGGTCAAACTTGTTTGTGGTACACTGGTTTCTTTGTGTAAACTGAAATTGATTCTTCTTTTTTTTTTTTAAACATTGAAGTATCTTATGGTATTTGGAGTCGTGGTGTAGCACTGCAGGTTAATGCACTGGATTGCAAGCTTGGCGGTTCAAGCTTACCAGTTGTTTCTTGGAAACCTGACACTGGGCAGCTATGAGCTGCAACCAAATCGACAGCACTTAACAACAGCAGTATTGTATTTATATTTAGCTGGTGATTATATATTGGTGTGTTCTCAAGTGCTGTCTACCTGTCTCCTGGTAGAGGTGGTAGAGACTGAAAGTGTGACCACCACTCTGTTCACTGTTTGTGTAACATAGTTCAGGGTGGGTTCTCATGCCTCCATAAGCAGAGACACTGTGCCAGGTGCCTGAGAACAGGCTACACAGGGGGAGTGCCAATGGAAGGCATGGGAACAAGGGAGAAATGCATTCCCTTGCCGTCAACCTCTAGCTGTGTACTGTGCTTATAAACCGCTGTGTCTGCAGTCACTCACAAACGCTTAAGATGGTCACGCCCACAGTCCGCCTGTTTTTCTTCTCTCTTGCTGCTTCTGTTTAGCTTCCTCTTAACAGTTGTCACTCAGTCCACCGCTCTGTCCTATCCCCTGAAGTTCAGGGTTCCAAGATCACCTTCTGTGTCTGTCTCACTCAGTCTCCCATGACTTTGTTGTAGGGGGTCAGTGTAGTGCATCTGCTTACTCCACTGTCTTGCCCCACGTTGCTCCACTATCTCACACAAAGACACAGTTTTTTCTTAGTCCTGAACTTTTCCCAGCAAGCTTTGCTCTTGGTAATTTTCAATGGCAAGAGGAAAACTTGAAAAAGAATGACCCTTTTGAAGCTTTTCTTACAGATTTTTTGATGTAGTTTTTAGTATAGAATGGATATAATTTACAGACAAAATGCTAATTTAGGTAGTGAATTAGAAGACTAGAACTTGAATCCACTGCTTGTTATATTTTGAACTGTCGACTTTGTGGTTTAAATCGCTGACCTTGTGGTTTAAACCGACCTTGCAGTCCAGTGTTTATCCTACAGCACCACACCATGACTCCAGATATATGAAAAGTAAAAGTCTGAAAGTAGAGAAGCAGAGATACAGTTGCAACAACAACAACAACAAAAAGCAAAGTAAAAGGGGAAATAATGTAGTTACATAACTTCCAAATGAAGAGAAAATCAAATGATGTCTAGAAAAAAGTAAAAAACTTAAATATAACCCTAAACGAGTCCTGGTGTGGCGCTTAAGGATAAGCACAGGACCAAAAGATTGGTTTGAACTATAGTATCAATGGTTCAAGCTGCTCTCATAACACACGGAGCTGCCATGAATTACAGTCAACTACATGACAACTGGTTTTGTTCTTTCCATCAACAGATAATAGGACCCAAACGATAACTGAGAGAATAAAGTTTTCTCTAAACAAACTTGAAACCAGTTATTGTTTTCTTTGAAGGAAAAAAAAGAATCTGTCTTCAAATTCTTTCCTTGAATATCATGACATCATCCTTTGCACAATAGGTAATAATGATTAATTTTATAAAGAATCAGCTTCATATCAACCAAATCTCTGAAGAATACATTTTGTTCCTTTTATCTGGTGAAATACACATAGGAAAAGCACTTCTCCCAAGGCTTCTAACAGAGTAGAATTGTGTTCCATAGGGTTTTCAGTGACTGGTTTTTGGAAACTATATTGCTAGACTGCTCTTCTGAGGTGCTGCTGGGTGGGCTTGAGCTTCCAACATTTGAGTTAGTAGCAGCATCAGAAATGAATTGACCCTTAGCTCCATG